CTGCTCAGGCCAGGGATGACAAGGGTTTTAGCACTAAATCATGTAATAAAGCTCTTTTCCTCTCTAACTTCTGTGATTTTATTAAGCTTATGCATCTCACAGGGTGAAACTGCTCGGGGTTTCTAAGGAAACAATCCTATTTGCTACAGGGAACTTAATGTGGAATTTATGGCCCTTTGAAGAGAGAATGGGGTGTACATGGGGCAAGCAGGATACCCTTCTTCATCCCCTTGGGGAGACCTCTAGAAAATCATAAAGATCAGGTATAGCAAGGGGAAAACACACATTAAAAGATTTACTATTACATAGAGGATAAAATCCAAGAATCTTGCCTTGGAATAATCTAGTCACCAAATCCATGTGACCTTGAATATCTTGTAGTTTGCCTTGTCACTGTGATCAACCAAGGCCTAGTAGGCTCTAGTCCAAGACTGTGTCATAGCTTGCCTCATCTCAACCAGTTATTAGCTACTGCATGAACTTTGTTCTGATTTATGAATCTTCTCTTTCATGTGTGGAGCCTCATACAGGATAGGTCCAAGTGCTTTGTTTTTCCAGAATGCCATTTTGTAAATATTTGGATACTGTGAAAGTCACCGCAGATTTTTACCATTCAGAAAAGGATATAAGTACTAAAAGTTATCATATAGAAATTCAGGAAGCAATAAGATTCTGAGATCTACATCTTGGGTGGTACCAGTACTAAAAACCTTAGTTCTGGGATCACATATGAATTTGAAATAAAATGAAAACAGATTTATTTCACTACATGTTCATGTATGGATAGCTTGCTTTAGCTATATGTACAGGATGCATACATGTTCACGTATGGATACTTAGGCCAGAATTAAGTCTGGCTAAAGCAAGCTACCCTCTTTCAATTTAGTTAAATCAGTACAAGTTTGTACATATTGATTCATATTTCTGGCCTCTCTCAACACAAGTCTCAAAACTTAGCTACAAAAATCGTTACTGGTGCACTAGTGAGAGTATAACTTTCAAGAGAGGAAAGCCTGAAGACAAGTTTTTTTTACATTATCTGGTTGCAGTTAGGATTAATTTACATCTCTCTAAAATGCTGCCTCTGTATATCAGACAGAGACTGAATTTATTGGACTTGGGTCACAGGAATATTTTTCTTGTCAATCTTGCAGACTCGCTGTTGGCATGTACTGGTCTTCATGCTCAGAGTAATTCAGGCTTTCATCTATTTAAGCCCACAGGACAGCAAACCACCTCTTTCTTTTAAAACAGGCACATCAAACTAATGCCAGCAATTTCTGAGATAACAGTACATGGGGCATCTGTTCAGAGACTGAGCCTGTTGGGAAGCTTTACATCAGACTGCTAGTATGACACGTAGCTGTTGCCACAAAAAAGTTACAGACTGTCCTTTCCGTACATCACTACTTCACACTTTAGAAACAAAGCAGAGTAGCCAAAGTACTTCAAAGTCACCAATCCAATGGCCAGCCAGTTAACAAAGGACAAGTTCTTGGTGAGAATCTGTCAAACCATCACAGCAGGCTGACAGTCCATTTAGTAGTGCAGTCAATCTGGAGTGCATGGCCTCATTTTAAGTTTGAAGATAGCGTCAATCCATTAGAACTGAATAATATTGAAACAGGTGAAAAACCTTTGGTTCCAATCAGATCTCCTCCCTCTCAGTCCTGCTAGTCAGGAATTACTCTTTTTCTCACATCAAAAGCAGACTGAAAACATTTCCTATCACTCCATTCAAACAAACAAAACTGAACAGAAACACAAACTGCTTTCATCAATGGCTATTGTTCTTGAACATTTTTGGGCCAAGCCGCATAGTATCCCTATGATTTCATGTTGTGGACAATGGAAAAGTAATAGTTTGTGACCCTACAACTACAATGCCACATCTCCAAAAATCAAAGCAATATGGTAGAGTAATTTAGACATTTTTCTGCTTCCCATCCAGTGGTGAGAGGGGGTAGAGCAGGGAAGGAGCCCAACTCCTAGAAGTTCCTCACAAACCCCCAAAGAGTGAGAGTACTTATGTTGGAGGAAAACTGATTTTGAGCTACCCTACAAGCAAAGCTTATTCTACGGCTCAGGTTAAGTTTACATTAGCAAAGCAAAGCTAAATAAGCTAAAAGGGATTGGACACATTCTTGGAAGAAAGGGGCATCAGTAGCTATTTAGTAGCAAAAGATTTAGGGGTACAATCTCTGAATCAGAACTTCCTAGACCCCAGATTAGCCCTTTTAGTAAACACATTTAAAACATTGCAAATATAACAGTACTTTGACTCCTAAAATAACTAATAGCTACATCTGTTAAAGAAAACTATGGCTGTTTCAGTGGGTGAAGGAATGTTTTACCTCAGCATGTAACATCTTTGATTTCAAAGTATCTCTTCCTCCAATCTGGCTTTGCTTCATATTGAAAGAGAGTTTGAGAAAGATACAGAACACCAACAATAAATCTTTCAAGTCACTGGATAAAACAATGACAACTGCAATCAAGAGCTTAAAAAGGAGAACTCAGAGAGAAGAGATCCTCTAATGACAAAAACACAGGTCTTATTTCCCCAAAGTGGAGTGTAGGTGAAAGTAACTAAACACCATATAAAAGTTTCATCAGTTAAATAGCTAGTTGCACAAACTCACACTTTCCTTCAATTTAAAAAGAATATTTCCCCTTCTAGAAACAATATTTCCCCTTCTAGTAATTTAAAAACTATTTGCTTAAAAACCAACAGGAAGACTCCACTGACATTAACTGTTTTTAAACCTACATATACTGCACTAAAAAGTCAGGACTTTGCAAAGGACAATTCGAAGGAAGTGATTCTTTCCCTCTATTTGGCACTGGTGAGACCACACCTGGAGTCCTGTGTCCATTTTTGGATCCCTACTACAGAAAGGATGTGGACAAATTGAAAAGAGTCCAGTACAGGGCAACAAAAATGGTTGGAGGGCTAGGTCTCTCTTGAGGAGAGACTGAGGGAATTGACTTGTTTTGGCCTATTTGATATGCTGTAGGGTCATGGTCTTGGGCCAGGGGTGGGCAAAATCTGGCCCACCAAGGGATTCTATCCAGCCTGTGATGGATCCCTTGGCCCTGTCTGGCTCAGGCATAAGCGCAGCCCAGACCATGGTGTGTGTGACCAGTCCTGCTGTCCCCAGGCACACAGTGGGGTGGGGCTGGCTTGGTTGCCAGACTCAGTTTCCTAGCAGCCCCTGCAATAGCAGTTCTCTCTGTTCAGTTGCCACTGCCAGTGTTACTGCTGCTGCCAGACCTGTCTCCACTGTGGTGTTACAGAGGAGACTGGGCAAGACCTGGGCAATGGCAACTCTCATGTTCCAGCTGGGTTCCAGTGGGGCTAGACACTAGGGAGTCCAAGCCCCAGCCTGCATGAAATCTCAGTCAACACATCTGATCATAGCAAGGACAGCAAGGGGCTGGGGAAAGGCGGTGCCAAGCTTCACAGGAAAGTGCTGAGGGACAACATCCAGGGCATCACCAAGCTGGTCATCTGCTGCTTGGCTTGCCATGGCAGTGTGAATAGTATCTCCAGCCTCATCTACAAGAAGGCCCAAAGGGTGCTGAAGGTCTTCCTGGAGAAAGCGATCTGTAGTGCCACCACCTATACGGAACATGCCAAGCACAAGACCATGACCACCACGGATGTGGTCTATGCATTAAGCACCAGGGTCACATCCAGTACAGCTTCAGTGGTTAAACAAAGGTGGAAAAAACCCAAGCACCAGCCTGACTGGTTATGCCGCCAGGCTTCATTGGTCAGCCTCACTAACCCAAACCCAGCTCCCGTTCACTTCCTTGGGCCATCTTACTTTGCCCTTCACCGACCATTCCCCTGCCTCGTTTGACTTTAGATGCAAGCACTGCCTTCTGCTCCTCAAGTCTGCTACTCTTTGGTGAGTGAAGGACCCCATGTATGTATGGCCTGGAAAGTGCCACTGGGTATAATGCATTTAAATAAAAAACCTAATCAAAATATAAGGGGCAGACAGCTAGTTCTCACTCTCTCTGCCTCACTATTATAATCCTTCGCTGCTTTTTTCCCCCTTCACCTTTCACCCTCTCCAGCTGCTCATTTAGCTAATTCTTTTTGCTGGATTTATATGTGTGTGTTTATATGCATGTATGTATAAGTGTAAATACATGCATATATGTGTGCGTGTGTACATGGGTCTATATGCACATGCACGTATGTACATGGGCCTATACACCTGCGTGGGTAAACGGGTCTTTATGCATGCACGTACAATATGCTCCCACACGCATGTGTACACACGTGTGTACACAGGTCCAAAGAAGCGCACCTGTGTGTGTGTGTCTCTCTCTCTCTCTCTCTATATATATATGAAAAGAGATATATCTCTATATATCTCTCCCTCTCTCTCTCTTTATATAAAGTGAGGGCCGCACGGGTGGGCGGGTGAGTCGGTCGGCCTCCCTCCCTGGCTGAGCCGGCGTCTTCCTGACGCGGAACATCCAACGGTCCTTCCCCCCTCCTCCCCCGGCCCCGTACCCAGCATGAGGGGGCTGAGGCGGCGGGCCATGCCCTTCGACAGGTCGTAGACGTAGAGCTTCACCGAGTGCAAGGCGGGCGGCGGCTCCATGCTGGCGGGCGACGGCACCGGCAGTCCCGACCGTGAGGTGACAGAGGAGCACTCCCTGTACGCATGCGCCGCGCAGCCGTGGCAGCCGGCGTCTGGGCGGAGCTGAACCGGGCTAGAGGAGAGTGGCCACGCGCTGAGGGCGTTACTGCCCTCTCCTGGGCGGGGCTGAGGAGCGGCGGCCGCGATTGGCTTAAGAGGAGGGGGGGTCTCGCGGGTGGAGAACAGCGTCCGCAATTGGCGGGCCAGGCCGTAACCAGGAAATGCGCCGCGCGTTCTGCAGGCCCGGTCGTCAGGGGTGGGCGTGGTCATGGCAACGCGACACCACCTCCGCGGGGCGGGGGCTTTCTGCTACTTCCGCCTCGTGGGATTGGGTGGCTTTCAGTTCCGCGGGAGGTGATTGAGCGGGTTTCCGGTGGGGTTGTCGGGCGGAGGTAACTGTCTGTCTGAGCGCTGAGGGCCGGGCCTGGACTCCCGCAGCAGGTGCCGGGCCGCAGCGCCGCTTACGCCCTCGCCTGTGTGTCCCTCCGGCGGCGCCGCCATGTCGGACTGGGTGTCTTACTACCGCAGCGAGCGGGAGGAGGAGGAGGAGGAGCCGGAGGAAGGCGCGGAGCCGGGCGGTCAGTGTCGGGCCCGGGTCCCCGCTGGCAGCTCGGGGCCTCTGTCCTCTTCCCGCGCCCCCCACCCCCCCGGCCAGAGACTCCCCGCTGGCTGGGAGATAGTGGCTCGGCCGGGCAGGAGGAGGCCAGCTACGAGGTGCCAGGCTTGGTGCGGCCACGGCCAGGAGACCAGATGCTGCCCGGATTAGGGTTGCCAGCTCCGTTTGAACCTATTCCGGGTGGCTTCCTTACATGATGTAATGATATAAATAACTTCACTTAAGGAAAGCAAATACACATGAGTGTTATATAAATCAGATTCAGCATTTAATATTTATTTTAATGAGCACCTGCTCATTTTTCTCCCATGTGACTCTCCTCAATCTCCTGGAGATTTGTCTCTAATTCCTGGAGACTCCAGGGCAATCCTGGATGGTTGGCAGCCCTAGACCAGGCGCACGCCTTGCGTCTCTGCTGGGAGAAAAGCTTCTGGGCCCCTTGCTGCTGTTCCTGCTGCGCTGTACACGCGGCTCTGCTCTGGCTTGGCCTGGGGCATCCATCTCTGTGAGGCCATGTGGGAAGAGCTGGGAGGGTACCCATGATGGGAGACTGGCAGGAAAGGAGACAGACGACTGGTGGTGCAGGCATCCTGGAGCCCTCTCTGGGCTGTCTGTCTCTTTCCCAGGCAGGGGAGAAGGTAGGCTGTCAATGAATAGGCTCCCCTTGGGGCAGCAGTGACCCAGGGAGCAGCCGACTGCTGCCCCTTGGCAAGAGAGCGTGCCAGTAGTGCTCTCCAGCCTGGAGGTTGAAATGCATGGATGTTCTGGCTCTTCTCCCCCTGCTTCCCGCAGTGGTTTTTCTACTGGTAAGAATGTCAGAGAAACTCTTACCAGCTGAAATGAAGGTCTGCACTTGGCCTAGGTTAATACATGGCCCATTCTATATTTGCTAGTGTTACAAAATACAACCAGTATTGGGTACTTTGCCTAGAAAGAAAAGGACAGCCTGATTTTTATGACTGTTTGGATTTTTCTCCTTCTTTTCAAAGGAGATTATCAATACTCAGGTCGGGACAGTCTGATTTTCTTAGTTGATGCCTCCAAAGCCATGTTTCAGTCCTATGAAGAAGGTGAGGATGATGATGACTGGACTGCTTTTGAGATGACAATCCAGGTAAGGGTATTAAAGATGTGACTGATGATGCCTGTCTTGTAGTTTAAAGGATCCTAAAGTGCTTTATAAATTGCGTGTAAAATTATGTTTGCTGTAATGTAGTTCATCTTTTTGGCTAACCTGTTTGTGTAGGTCATGGTGATGTCTGAACACAGACCTGTGGCCTAGAAATAGGTAAATCTATGCAGCAAGAACAGCAGCTGGGAGTTGGCAAGATCAAATTCCTAGTCAGACAAAGTAGCATTTGGATTTCATCAATAAGATGATACAATAAGGACTAAAATCCGTGTGATGAATAACATTTCAAGAAAACTCTGCCTTTTCTTGCCCTCATCTCTAACAATGGAGTATTAATGTTCAACTATTAGTCATAAATATCCAGAAAGCCCAGCTGGTGCTGAGATGTGGCTTAAAATATTGTGCCAGTCCCTGGCATTGCCAGCGCAAACTGTTTGCTTGCCAACGGCTGAACTCTATTATGGTTCCTGAAACTAATGTTTTGCGCTCTTTCCTTGCTGGCCTGTGTGGTTTCTTTCCAGTGCATCCGGAATGTGTATACCAGCAAGATTATCAGTAGTGACAGAGACCTCCTGAGCGTTGTGTTTTATGGTACTGAGAAAAACAAAAACTCAGCAGATTTCAAACATGTTTATGTTCTTCAGGAGTTGGACAATCCAGGTAAAATGTAATAGTGATCTGAAGATTTCTGTGAAAAATAGGAACTGGGGAAGTCCATACGATCAGGCCTCCCTCTGTCTCATGCCCAAGGGAGCTGATGCTGTGAGAGAAACTAGAATGCTACAGTTTTTGTGAGGAGTTTTTTCATAGGTGTAATAAATTCTCTGGTTGGTGCTTCCCTGCCCAGTCAGGCAAAAAATACTGTTAATAGTTTGATTTTCTTTTGTTGGCTGCTGTACTCCTTTCCCTGCAGTCAATTCTATTTGAAGGGTCTTACGCCTCAAAAAACCTTAAAAATCATTGCTAATTAACTAAAATTTTGGGGGGGAAGGAAATTAAGAAGGGAGAAAAGATCTATTTGTGGATGAAAGTTTAAAAAAGGAGAAGCAAGTGAGGAAGCAAGATATGAAGAACATATATATACACATATATCAAACAGCAGCTACAGGACAGAAGGCATGTCACCCATTGTCAAAGTAGTTATGAGAGAGGAGGAGAGCTGCAAATAGACAAACAGGGAAAAGGAGGTATTGGTCAAGGTTGGGTAACCTGTAAAGTTTGAAAAATAGACCAGTTATCTATGAGCTCATGCACCTAAAGTATTAAACATCTTAACCAAGCCTTCAGAGTGCAGTGCTGTGATAATGCAATGAAACAGTAACTATAAGGAGCTGTAGGCTTCTTGCATTGGAAATGTAGCATGAACCATAGGCAGTACAGACCAATTTTCTGCTCTTGCTCTCTTTGCCTTTAGGTGCACAGCGAGTGCTAGAACTGGACAAGTACAAGGGAAACCGGGGGAAAGCACTCTTTCGTGAGTCATTTGGCCATAATAATGAATACTCACTGGGTGAGGCATTTTGGGCCTGCTCTAATCTCTTCAGTGATGTCCAGCTCAAGATGAGCCACAAAAGGATTATGCTGTTCACCAATGAAGATAATCCTCATGCCAATGACAGCACTAAAACCAAGCTGGCTAGGACCAGAGCTGCTGACCTTCGAGACACAGGTCAGCATTTTCACTTTTCACTTACTGATGGAGCTTCATGAAGAGTAAGGGTATAAACAAAGATCACCAAATAAAGTGGATCAGTTGTTTTGGGATAAGTCCTGGTGCAGCTGATCCACTTGATTGGGCGAAATGAATGTTACCCATTGCCCTGCAAGGTTGGACCCCTGTCATTTCCAGGAGCAGCCAGTGCCCAATATTGCTGGACAATGCTTGAGGTGCCTGTATGCAAATCGAATTTAAGGGTATAAACAGGGTTTCCCCATTTATAGAAATGCATGCCTAGAGTCTCTCCAGCATGGTAATGGGGCCAGGACCACCAGTTAGATGACTCCGAAATTGGGGAAACTGGGTAGGCATTCCCAGGGCTTCAGGGGTCAAATCAGCACATCTTGGAGATTCCCATTTCCCCTGAAGCCCTGGGAATGCCTGCCTGAGGCAGCCAGAGAACATGGGCAACTCTGGTTTGCTTTGCCTATGCTTTCTTGCCCTAAAGCAAGTCAGATGTCAACCACAAAATAGCAGCACAAAATCACATTACCTATGTCACAACCACAGATTTTGGACATTTTTGGTACAACAAGGGGCATGGACATCTGTCAGTGATGCTTTGTGTACTAGCTACTAGATCACATCCTTACTCTTTCTGCTATGTGACTTGATCAATTGCGAAAGAAACAATTTCCAGCTCTCATTAATTACTTTATTTTAGTGACCAACACAAATAGAAAAGCAAAATCTATGCATGTTTCAACTTCCTTTCCCATTTTAAGGAAATATCTGAGTATTGTGGATATGTATTGCTGAAAGTACATAGAAATCAATTTACCTAACCCTCCCCACATCTTTACTTTGTGACTAGGTATCATCCTTGATTTAATGCACTTGAAGAAGCCTGGGGGGTTTGATATATCCACGTTCTACAGAGATATCATTAACGTAGCAGAAGATGAGGATTTAGGAGTCCAGCCTGTTGAGTCAGGGAAACTGGAAGATCTCATGAAGAAAGTACGAGCAAAGGAGACAAAGAAACGGGCTTTAGCCAGGTGCGTGCCAAGTATCAACATTTGAAATAGCATAAGCAGTCTCTGGAAAGGCTTCCTTGGTGGAAGCATGGTGCTATTAAGGTAGTGTTTGAGCATCATTTCCACTTCTAGGTCCCAATTACTTAGTGCAAGATTGGTGGAACTTCCCCAGCTTTTGGAGATTTTTGACTAGAGGCTTTCAGTAGTGGGGAATAGAGCTTTGAACTAAACCCTATCCTGACTGTTATATGCCATCTTCCCAACTGAGTCAAGTATGAAGTCATCATCCTCGAAGCGGAAAAAAGGCAGCTTGCTTTATCCTGACCCAGGAACCTGATTTGGCCAGTATATGTGGGTATGGAGTCTAACTCACTTGTCTTTCTGGCATTTCAGAAACTATTTATACCCTTCCCCCCAAAAAACCCCCCAAAACAAACAACAACAAAAGTCTGTAAGTTGGTTACTGTTAAATTGAATCTTGGCACAAAACTGATCAGTTGACCCTCTTCATGTGCTCGAGTGTGATTTGAACACAGTGAGATGGAATAAGCTTAAGAGCTGTGTCAGTCTTTTATGAGTTACTCTCACATGGACCAGTATCTGTGCAGGCTCTTGTTATCTGATTGAGATTGGGCTTGACCTTTCTGAAACCTCCTCTTTAAAATATCCCACAACATTTTAATAAGAACTTTTCAAAAGTGATGAAAGAGCCTTTGGAGCTACTTGCTTCCTGTAAGCTTAAGTAACTCATTTTCTGGTGATAGTGATTTTGACTCAGAGTGGGTAAGTGATGTTTAGGGACATGTTGCACTGGAGTTTATACAGCTAATGCTGTGGATTTACCTAGGCTTTTCCTTTTCAAGGGGTTATCAGACATCCACTTTTCATTCTGCCAACATTTATCCTATGATTATCTGTCTGTTTTTTGTGGAAGCCTTTCACTAGATGCTAGGTGTCAAAAGATCATACAGGTTCTGGATGGAGTAGACTAGAGCTCTTAGAAGTTCTGCCCATCTTTGTTTTCACCCCAGTTTAGTAGCCAGATTTATATCCAAGAGGACAGTGTCTAACAGATGTCTTCATTTTATGTTGATGTCACATCATTGGCCTAAAAGTAAAAGCACCTCCCACCATTTTCTTCTCAGAATTTGAAGATTGTTTTTCGCTTCTACACATTACTCTTTATTTTTCCAAGGCACTTCCTTACTATTGCGCTACACGTCTTACATTGTTTGTCTTCCTGGGAGTTTTGCCACCTCTTCGTTCAAGCAGGAGACGCATTTCAATGGGCATCATGTGTGTTCAGCATGGGAGTGGTGTAGGAGGGCTAGCCTGGGCCTGTATTGTGGTCTGTCTACACTCACGTCACAGAGTTGTGCCCTACCACATCAACACTTATGCGTTGTTTATGCATTGAGGACTTGTACTAAGCTATTTATATTGGAGAACTCTCAGTTCTATGTCAAAATTAAGATATCTTTAGAGAAACGGCATTACAACACTGGTAATGTTATTTCAGAAATGCATGTGATGTTTGGGGGAGAACAAAAGAGAATCTGAGAGAATAAATTGCTAGAAGAGAGAACTACTTTTTGGAGACTGACTGTGGAAGTCTTCATTCTGCTTGTCTGTTATTCCCATACAGGATAAACTTTTATCTGTGCAAAGACATATTCTTCACTGTTGGTGTTTACAACTTGGTCCAAAAAGCAATAAAGCCATATCCAGTGAAGCTTTATCGGGAAACCAATGAGCCAGTTAGAACTAAGACACGAACATTTAACCAAGAGACAGGTAGTTTGCTTCTACCTAGTGATACCAAGAAAGCTCAGGTAATACATCCCATATGTTCTTGCTTTTCTTCTCAGTGTGGGATCTGCAGGGGCACCAAAAGACTTACCAAAACCATTACTTCTTTTTGTATGGCTCTTCTTAAGTGAGCCACAGAAATGCAGAGGATGACAGGTTTATACTGCTTGTTCCATTTCCCTTAGAGATAATGTGATCCTGTTGCATTTAGAAGCTAGGCAGACTTGGAGTGGGTTGTTATGTGGGTTAGCCTCCATAAAAGGACAGCTGTTGATGGAATTGAGGTTGGGGGCCGTGGGTTGCATTCTCCCTTTGCAATGATTCAAGTTTGTCTGAAAGAGTAGACAGTAGTTCTACTGGTGGTCTTGCATCTCGATAGCCTCTTCAGTGTTTTAATCATTTAAATAATGATACTATGGTACTTCTTTACTAAAGAGTAAAGGTGTGAGTGTTCTGACATTTATTTATGTATGTATTTATTTATTTTTAAAGCCAAAACAGATTTTCTTGTTCTTCATGCCCTAGCATTGTTCATCAGAATGATTACCACAGTCTCTGGTCAGATATAGATGAATTTTTATTTTTACAGCTAAGACGCAGTTTATAAAATGCTTCACAAAGTTTTGGGATGGAGGGAGTTATGGAAATATAAGATTATTGGCTGTGTTGTATCTTTAGATTAAGCAGCTAGTGTGTCAAAAACACAGCATCTTGCAGTAAAAGATCTCTAAGAAAAGCATAAACCTAAAATCAAAATCTCTGTGACATCTGTAGACTGGATTAAAGTTCATAACTGAACATAGTTATCAATTGCTTTGTGAATATAAATATACAGCAGCGCTTTTAAACAAGGGACTGCTAATAGTATTTTGCTGTGGAAGGTTGTGGCTAATTTGTTCACCTTAAATAATTAATTCAGCAAAAGATTAGCCCTTCACATGCAGGTTTTTCTTCATGTGCAAGCAATGCTCCATAACCCACCACCACTTTTTTAGAGAGGACTGTTGAGGTGCCATAGAAACTAAGGCACAGGTTTATGAAGTGAATCTTCAGGAGGATTGCAAGGGATAGGTTAAATGAAGATATTGTGTGTATAACAGGTAAAAAAAAAATGACTATACAATTGAAAGGATCACAAGTTTCTCCTTTGTTGCTAGTAATTCTTTGTAGATTGGCTATGGGCCTTTCTTAAGGCCTGCTGCCTTTCAGATTTTAACGGAGTAAATTTTGTTTAAATTGGCTTTAAGGATAGCATATTGGTATTTATTTTCATTGTGGACAAATACTTCCAGGTTATTGGTTTCCCTTTCGTCCACCCCCACCCCTTTGCTACTGATGTTGCCTCCCCTTCTTCATTCCTTCATGATATATGGGACAATTCAATTGGTTCTGTTCTTAAAACTGTCCCCCCACCCCTATTTTAGACATATGGGAACCGTCAGATTGTATTGGAGAAAGAGGAGACTGAGGAACTGAAGAAATTTGATTCCCCAGGTTTGGTTTTGATTGGCTTCAAACCTTTGGCAATGCTCAAACAGCATCATCACATTAAGCCCTGTCAGTTCATCTATCCTGAGGAGTCCTTGATGAGTGGTAAGAAAAGGTGGGGTGTAAAGACCCAACAGGCAATCATCTTGTAGTGTGGCTGCAAACTAATTCCTAGCGGGGAGGGAAATGGGGGATGGGACAGGGGAAGGGTGGGACAAATATCATTTGAAGAGGGACATGAGATATTCAGACTCATTTGTGCTTCCTTGTCTAGAACAAAAGTTTAAATTTAGCTTTGATTCATTGATTTGACTAACGCACACTTTCGCCATTGTAACCCATGTTTTTGGCTTTGTTTTCCATGCTGACTTATTTTCTTTTTTCTTTTCTTTTTTTTCATTGTTGTTGACCTAATGTTCACCCCATAAGATTTTTGTCATTCATGGCAATACTTATCTAGAAACCTGAGGTGTATGGAGACTCAATCAACAAGGGGATCAAGACATAGAGCTTGAGAGAGATGATTAGGACATCTGGATACAGAAGTTGCAATTATGTCAGCTAGAAGGATAGGTGCAATGCTAAGAAAGAACATGCAAGCTAGCAGTATTTTCTGATGCTGGTTTATATTAGCTAGAAGGAGAGAATTTTAGGGGCCTCTCTGTCTCCCTTTACCATGTTAACCGTGTATTTGGGATAGGGACAATGTCACGCTGTGTAAGGGAAGTGGGATTAAGTAGAAGTAGTTCAGTAAGTGTGTCGCTTATAAAAAGGACTCTGTCAGAACAGGTTGCTCCACTCCCTCGGAGTCCAAGATGCACTTGCTGTCTGGGTGCAACACCTTCAGGGAGGTAAGAGTGGATACTTGATTGTCCACTTCACTGCCTTGCAGTATTTCCAGCAACATGCCTTGTCCAGTGGATGTACAGTTTGGGTATGTTTTTTTTTTTTTTTTTTTTTGCCAACCCCTGTGGTAAAAAAAAAACAGGCTAATGTTGGCTGTTCTTGAAAAACAGTTTTGACCCTGATTCTTAGTACTGAAGGCTTGTGGTGTGCCACTGACTGGATCTCCAAGGATGGAGGGTGTTTATGCTCACATCATAGCAAACCTAATTTTGTTGTCCCTTATATTCTCTTTGAATGGGTGGCACCTCTATTATCAGGACAGATACCTCTTCTTTCATATATTGGCAAATCCTGCCCTTTCATCAGATTTCTCTTGCCCTTTTTTGTCCAGAGAACATATTGTCCTCATCCTAGAGGGTTTCCCTCCCTTCCCAGTCCCCCATAACAGTTTAATGTTGTTTTTCCTGTCTGGAATCTTATAGATATTGCCAAAAAGTGACAGGTGCTAAACCTGCAGTACTTTCAGACTATGTGCCTGAATCTCCAGAGGTGACCCCTGTACCCAAATCTGACTGATACAGCCTTTATTGTGTAGGGAGTATGACTCTGTTTAATGCCTTATTGACCAAGTGCCTGGAGAAAGAAGTGATGGCATTGTGCAGATATGTCCCCCGCCGGAACACTCCCCCCTACTTTGTGGCCATGATCCCTCAAGAGGAAGAGCTGGATGAGCAGAATGTGCAGACAGCCTCTCCAGGTGTGTGAAAAATTGCAATTTTCTTTATTGCAGTAGAAAAGAAGGAACTAGACAAGCAAGTATGCTGTGTACTGCAAGGTGTTTCTTGTGCATCTCAAAAACAGAAGAGAAAATAACTGTCCGCAATCTCTTGCTGCCATTTTCCCATGTCCAGAATCTGACACAGCAAGCTGCTCATAGCAACTCAGGCCAGAGTTGCTTGCTTAAAATGTTGGGATAGACTCATGCAGAATAAATGCTCTGAGAGATTTACATGGGGTACCTGCTGCTAAGAATTTCTAATAGAGGTGCACTGATGCATCGATCCAATACTGGATCAGCACCGATATAAAGAAAATTGACTATATTGGAAATTGGCCTGATGTGGCTGATAATTTGGCCAATAAATGTCTGAGTGTGCGTGCAGCTGCAGCGCAGTACATAGATGGTGAGGAGCGGAGCCCAGCAGCTTGGAGAGCTGCGTGCAGCTGGTAAATCTGTTGTGGTGGAAGGGGAGGGAGGAGGGAAGGGGCATGGGGGGCAGATCAAGGACCCCCATGGTGAGGGAGAGAGTGGGGCTGGCGTAGGTGCTGCCCAGCTGGGGTGGGGCAGGGTGCAGGATAGAGCCACAGCTCATCCAGGAGGCACGGCGTACAGGGTGGCTCTCCCTGCAGTGCGCACCCCAGGAGGGCACGGGCGTGCCCCCAGATCTGTGTGGGGCAGGCTGCAGCTGGGGGCCGCACTGGGCCCAGCCGCACTGTGCTTTGAGCAGGTGGTGGTGGCACTGGGAGAGGGGCCACAGGTGGCTGCAGCCACCCCAAATTTCGCTGTAGCCCCCTCCCAGTGCCGCCACCACCCACCTTGAGCGCAGTGTGGCCCAGGCCCCCTGCTACATGCCAGGAAGACTATGGACCTTGGCCCCATCCTGCAGCTGCAGCCTGCCCTGCCCTGCACTGCCCTGCCCTACGCAGATCCGAGGGCACACGCTCCTCCCCGCCCCCAGTGCCTTGCTGGGGTGCATATAGTAGTGAGAGCCACTCCCCCTTCCTGCGCCCCCCAGATGAGCTGCGGCTCCATCGCATGCCTGCCCCACCCCAGTTGGGCAGCCCCTGCCCCACTCCCTCCCTCACCATGGTGGGCATTGATCTGCCCCCCACACCCTTTCCCTCTCTGCTCCTTGTCCACTACAACAGGTTCACCAGCTGGATGAAGCTGTATCGGAAATCAGATTGGTATTGGCCAATATGCCTCCTTAAAAATCAGCTATCGGTATTGGCTCCCAAAATCTTGCTTGGTGCACCCTTAATTTCTAATACCAGGCTGGTGTCAGTATAGTTGAGTTTATGCCATGTTAATCTGATGAGCCTAAATAACAGTGTAGTTAAAGCCTTTTGAAAACCTCCATTTAAGTCCATACTTGCCCAAGAAAACATAACCTCCAGAATTAACATAGGTGTGATACTTCTCCTCCCTCTTAGTCCCTTGCTAGCAGGGTAGGTGATTGAGTAGAATATGATTAGGAAGCAGGAGTAGATTATTTCCTTCTGTCTTCCCCCCTCTTATAGCTGGTGAAGCTTATGTTGGGGAGGACAAGGAAAAAGAACAATGGTGCCCACATTTAGTGAATGTTATCACAGAAGTGCTTTATAAGCACCAGTTTAATTTTTTTAACATCCCTGTGAGATGGATTTTTTTCCTTTTCAGATGATTGGAAGGTAATGCAGGAAACTGCTAGATGGCATTAAACTTCAGATTCTAGCTTCCCATCATGTATTTAGTCTCTCCCAGGTGTTCTTTAGTATTTTTTTAGTGGTAACGATGTTTTGGTAATGTCCAGAAGCCTAAGTGTTTGAGGTGATCTTTGAATTCATATAAAGATACTCTTGGCAATTCAGGACTGAGAATAGGGACATTTCTGAAAAAGAAAGTTACTTGTTAATTCTGTGTGGGCACTTGCATATAGTACTGTCTAGTTAGTATGAGTAAACTGTTCACAGCCATTCTTGGCTTCTGTCATGTGTCTTGAGGCTGTCATTGGATGACACATTTTGTATATCTGTTTCTGCCACCTAGGTTTCCACCTCATTTTCCTGCCCTATGCAGATGACATACGGAAAATTGACTTTACAGAGAAGGTGCCAGCCAATGAAGAACAAGTGGACAAAATGAAGGAAATAGTCCAGAAGCTTCGATTCAAGTACAGGTGAATGGAAGCTGGAGGTGTGGGACATGAACATTTTTATAAAGCCTGTTACCTGCTATATTGTACATTATTCAGTGGCAAGCAGCTAAAGCAGTTGCACAAGATCATAAATTTCAACACATTAGGGAGCTAAGACTCTGCAATGTATAATTAGGGCTTCTTTTTTTTTTTTTAACACCTCTGAGTCCATTAGGCTTTCTGGACATCCAGGAAGACATTGACACTAAACATTGGAAAAAAACATTGCTTGAAATTGGTTGTGTAACACTTGAACTGTGTGATGGGTTCAAACATGATGGCCAAATTGGACGTCTTACCAGTGTTAATTTATAATGGTTGGTTGCAAAACTTGAGAACGTATCTAAAGATTTGTTCTCATTGGTCTGGTGTAATACGCTGGGTTTCTGCCCCAGCAGTCAAAATTCCATGACATGCATGTAGCTATACTTGATCAAACATAACTGTAGTGGGTGCATTGTCTAGATAAATTCAATTAGTCCTGCCATCTTTGTCTCACAATTAATTTGTCTTGCATGTAGAAATTACACATGCGGGCCCAAATTGGTCTTATAAGGGAAAATTAACTTTTTTTTTTAATCAAAGGAGGCCTCATTTTCCTGTAGAACATGTATGCACACACGTCTGCAGAATCACATGTGCATGCGTGTGCGCGCGTACACAAAAGGAAGGGGACTTTCTACCCTTTTTGGTAGGCTACATCGGAGACTATCTCACTGTGCTTAGCTGGGAAACTTGCAGGGACATTGATTGCAAAGTAGTTTGCTACCTTTTTTTACCCTTATAATAGTCACTGTGTATATGCAGCTCTGCTTATTTGATAGAACTGTTTTGATGTACCCATACACAGCATGCCTTACAGCAAATGTACCAGTATGTTATGAGACTCCTTAAACATTTGACTTGGCTCAAAGAGATGTTATACCATGGTCTGATAGCGTATTTGAGTGATGGAATAAGAAAGAGCCTTTGCCTGATCTTTTTGTAAGGAAGGTATTGAAGGGTCTTTGAAGTGAAAACACAAGATAATAGTTACTAATGAGCTGGGGTGTCTCCACCATAAGGAGGAGAATTATTTTAAAGGAGATGTATGTTTAGGTGTTGGGTATGTAGAAAGAGCAAAACTAGCATTAATGTGGAATGGTGACCCCTTCAGGCTTTTTTTTCAGGTTCCCATAAAAGTTACTAAAAAGTGGCCAATGATAGCTTTTGAATAAGCATGTTTGCTGTCCTGCTAATAAGTTACATTTACTTCTTGGCATCTCTGTTGAATATTTCTGGATTTTGTTGACAGGAGTGACAGCTTTGAGAACCCCGTCCTGCAGCAGCACTTTAGGAACCTGGAGGCCTTGGCACTGGGCATGATGGAGCCTGAACAAGCTGAGGATCTGACAAGTGAGAATTATTAGTTGATGCAAAAAGAGTGTGGGAGAGGTCACTTGCATCTTCTACCCTGGGTCATAGAAATGTGTTATTGGAAAATCCAAAAGGACTCCTTTTGTGTTTATAAAAAAGCAAAACAAAACTGTTAGCATTGTGCAGTTCTAAGACTTAATCTGGAATATGTGGTGATGGTGATCTGCTTCAAGGGCTGTTTTAAATTTTGTAGTTCTGGTTTTGCTATTGCAGTTCTTTTGCTATCCCTGGCCTTTTGCTTCCCCCCCACTCCCAAAATGTATACTTGTTAAAACATCCCTTCTAGTCTTGTTGAGAAACTGGTGATATTTCTGTCTATGCAAATGTTTGCATGGTCTAAATTAAGACCAAACTCCTATCACTTGGAGCTAAATTTTCTGCATTTTTTCACTTTAGTCATGAGAGATGCAACTGCTTTTCCAAAGGTCCTAAACATGAACTATTTAAAATTTAGGTCTTGAGATGTTAAACAGCAACTATGCCCTGCCTTCTCTTTTTTTTGACAAAATACTTCAGTAGGTCTTAAAATCATGACCAATGAATTAAAATCATGACCAATGAAAGTAAAAAGGAATTGTTTAATTTATCTTTTAAAATAATGACTGAACAGTCTTTGTATACCGGCAGACAGCTTTTTGGCTTAAAATTCACTTCCCTAAAAGTCCACTGGCATTTCACTTTGAAAAAATGAATGAAATTCATTGGCCATCTGCTGGTGGGGAATGATGCCACCCTGTGGCCAGTAAGAGCACACAGCTCTGGTTCTTTGGTACTCTTCCCAGGAAAAGCAGTAACCTCTCTCTCTGTCTCTCTCTCTCTCTCCCTTCCCCCCCTGTACTTTCAGGTAAAATTACTGCTTTCCTGCATTGTGATAGTAGAGTCTAAGGGCCCCACTTAAGAATCATGACTTTATTGCACTAAGCAGTATAAAGAAACATGACAAAAAGACTTTCTGCCACAAAGAACTGACAGTGTTGATGAGAAAAAAACAGGTAACTTAAAAAAAATAGGGCTAGCAAAAGATTATGAAATAAGAGATGGCAAAGCTTTCTCCCCACATCCTGCTATGTTTTCTCTTTGATTTCCTTTGTGTATAGGCATGTACTTTTTTTTTTTTTTTCCTATCGGGTATACAACGAAGTCTAATCAACTGTGCATTATACAATGTTAGTGATAGTATTGAGAACCTTAACTTTCTCATTTCCTGATTCCTGTACATTCAAAATTTGGTTACTGTTCTGTTTAATGTACTTTTTGCATTTCATTTTTCATGTTTGGAAAGCATTTAGGAAAAGATGGCTACTCTTTAAAAGCATTTATTTTTTAATACAGTAGAATTTGGTGATTTATATTTTGTGTGGGCTGCATTTTGGTGAGCACAAGTCTGTTTCTTCTGTCAGTGCCTAAAGCTGAGGAGATGAATCGCAGACTGGGTAATCTAGTGGAAGAGTTTAAGCAGCTGGTTTATCCACCTGATTACAGTCCTGAGGGAAAGGCTGGGAAACGAAAGCAAGGTGAGTAGTGAAAGCAACAGGCCAGGGTTTTGTGAGATGCAACATGCTGTTGTTGTCAGCTGTTCAGAGGCTTTTGTATTTCTCATTTTCTCTCTCTTGGGGGTTTAAAGTGAAAAGTACTCTCTATAAATTGTTCCACATCCACATTCAAATAGAATAATATATCACCTTGGACTATGATCTTGGCAAATCTTACAAGCTAAAGTAGTGTGTGGTCAAACTAGGCCACTTGAATGGGAAACCTCTGAAGGATATTCAGCTTGTTGCAGGAAGGGGGTGTGTGGTTGCTTACTTGGCCCAAGCTGAATATTTCTGAGAGGCTAATAAAAACCCTGCATTTTTTTTTTACCTTCTTGTACAGCTGAGGGAAGACTTTGCATGAGCTGTTAAATTTTCGTTACTGTTTTGCAGGGTTATGGTAAAGAATCCCTTACCAATTGGATGAAAAAGTGAAGCTTGGACAACTTGTGGGTTAGAACCCATTACACTTAAAAATAGGGGTTCTAGCTTCAGTGTCCTAGCCAATTTCTGTATTGAGCAATTGTGTTCTGCTGGCCCCATAGAAATCACATAGAGTGTCACATGGGAATAGTTTTCCTCTGAGCTTATAAAATCTATATTTCATTGTTGTGCATGATCTCATGCTGTCACTAATACAATGAACTGTAGCTGCTTTTTGGGTGAAATACATAACCTAGAAACTTGTTGCATGTGTGCATGATGCACTGCCTTTATGGCGTGACGTACTAATTGTTACTAGACTGATTGAACTGTCTTTCCTCTCTTAATAGTCCTTCTAATGTCAATGATCCAACTTCCTTTTTGCAACAGGAGGTGGTGATGTGCAAGTGGAGAAAAAGCCCAAGATAGAAATCTCTGAGGATGAGCTGAGGAGTTTTGTGCAGAAGGGCACTCTTGGCAAGCTCACTGTGCCTGCTCTGAAGGAGGCATGCAAGGCTTATGGGCTAAAGGTTGTTGGGAAGAAGCAAGAACTTTTGGATGCACTAACTGAGCATTTCAGGAAGCATTAACCAGGAACTAGTGCCTAGGGTGACTCCCTTCTGCTAAATTCAGTCTCCTTACAGGGCTGGTTTGTTGGGCTGAGTTCAGTTTTTTCATCCAGAGGCAGAGGGCAAGAAGGAGAAAATAACTCTGCTTCAAGTGTTGTAGTCTGTAGTGGAGAAGAAAGTTTATCCTGCTGGCGATAGGTATATGCCAACTTGTTTTTTGCTGATGGCAGCCAAGGGTAAAACAAGCTATCCCCAACTCTGGACTTATGTTTTAAAATCAATGCTGTTGTGCCATCTAGGTTTCTAAATAAATGCAAGCATACTTTGTAGTCTGTGTTATTCTGGGGCAGCTGGTGTGGTAAAAGGATGTGACACACACAACCAAACTTGCTTATTGGAAATAAAGAAATGGAATAATCTGTGTTGGTTAGGTGAATTACTGCTGTTGGCTTAACTGTCCAAGTTTTGTGTTTACAAGGATTATAACCATAATCCTTGCTCTTTTGATCAATACACTAAGCCCGTCAATCAAAATTGCTAGACAAGAACAAATTGCTTTCTGTTCTGGCCACAGCATAATAGAAACAGTCTGCAGAAACTGAAAAAGATGTAAGTACAGAAATGTTGCTGAGCAGTAGCAGTTATTTAAATAGTTTGCATAATCTATTCCTTTTTCGAAGCTGAATTGCAAAAGGGGGTAGAGTGGTGGGGGATCCTAATCAGTTATATTTTTAAAATGTTACTTGAATATATTCCTTGGAGGATGTGAGTGAAGATGACAACCTAGTAGCCTGTAATCTCAGATAGAGCTTTTCCAACCCTCAAGTGAGGGTGAGTCAACCTACTTTAAAGAACAAGTCCATGAATAAGGTCATTAAAAATAGCAATTTCTGGTGATTTCTCTTATTATTTAAAGTGGCTTTTAGATCACACTTATGCATACTGCACACTTGTGCAAACCACATACAAGTTTTTAAACTCTCAGTCCCCTTTCTAAGTGTAAGGGCTAGGGAAATCAGGTTAAATAATCAGTCTCCTTGTTCTAGAGCAGGGCGGCCAACCTGTGGCATGAATGCCACAAATGGCAGATAAACTGTGTGTGTGGCACATGACAGATCAGGTAGGGTGCAGGAATAGAAAGCAGAGCAGGAGATTGGGCAGGGAGCACAGAATGTGGAGCAGAAAACAGCACAGCAGATTGGGCAGCAGAAGGGGATTGGAATGGCACTTGGGGAGGATCTGGGGCTAATTTGTGGTGTGCCTGCCAAAAAGGTTGACCCTCACTGTTCTAGAAAGTGGTGATGGTGGTGGTACAGCTGACTCTAGTTTTACCTATAATTTTTCATGGTTTCTGTGCATACTTTCAACCAACGATCCATTCCTTTTTATACATGCATGGTGTAATAGAGGCCAACACTGGGATCCTTAATACTGACAATGAAGCAATCAGGGGAGCTACTGGTAGCAGTAAATGAAGCAATATAATTTGGTTATAGAGGCACTACAGCTTGTGCAAATAGATAAAATACAGGCTAACTTTAAACTTGGTAGTTTGTTTAGTATGTCTGCAGCATGAAATTTAGTGTGGGCTGCAAAACTCCTGAGCTGACAAAATGCTTGGGTGGCTAGCCCATGTTAAGCTCCATACTGTCACAGCCAACCTACTCCAGCATCTGAGCCAACTTGTTTCAATTTAGGTTGGGTATGGCTATCTGAGCTACAGTTAGCAACAGTGACAGTGGTGTGCTGGTAGCCTTTGTCATAGAATGGGCCACTGCACCCTGTAGGTCTGGGGTGGGCAAAATACAGCCTGCAGGCCAGATTCAGCCCAAGGCATTTTGTCTGGTCTGCAGTGGGTCCTTTGGCCTCACCTGGCCCATGCACAGGGGTGGCTAAGGCTGTAGCGCATGCAGTTGGTCCTGCCACCCCCAGGTGCACAGTAGGGCTGGGACGGAGCAGCAGCCAGACTCCATTTCCTGGCAGCCCCTGTGGTGGTTCCTTCCAGTTTCTGCTGCTGGACCAAGCCCTGCTGCCCGGGCACTCCAGCCTATTTGTTCAGGGTGCCAGATGGAGTGGGTGGGTGGGCCTGATCTCCATGGAGACTGGGTGAGATCTGCACGGGCAGGCTGGGCAGACGGGATGGGGCTGCAGGCAGGCAGGGAACCTCATTTAGGGTGGCGGGGTGGGGCTGGGGATCAGGATTATGGGGCAGTGACAGTGCAGGGTTGGGGTCTTGGGCAGAGCCTCAATCCACTCCCTGCACACCTCTACCTGTGGAACCAGCCCTTGTTGCAGGGGCATGTGGGCAGATCACAGCTCTGCCTTAGTCCCTGGCCCTGTGCTGTTACTGCCCTGTGATCCCAATCCCCAGACTTGCCTGCCCATCCTGCTCCCAGATGCTGCTACCTGCCTGCCCGTGACCTCATCTGATCTGTGCTGGGATGAGGCTGCAGGTGGATAGGGAGAGGCATCCAGGACCAGGATGGGCAGGCAGGGCCAGCGTTGGGGCTAGGTGTGGAGTCACAGGACCAGGGGCCAGGGCAGAACCACTATCTGCTCCCCACTTGCCTGTGATTTGTGCTGGTTTCACAGGCAGAGGTATGCAGGAATCATGGCTCTGCCTTGGCCCCATACTATCACCATCCTGTGATTCTGGGATCTCCAGGAAGACCAGCCAGGACCCACATGGGAGGCCAGTTAGGGAGTTTTCGTGAGCTATTGTGGGGAGTGGGGGGTTGATCTGGCCCACAACAGATACCTAAAACTCCCTAAGTGGCCTTCCAGCCAAAATAATTGCCCACCCCTGCTACAGGTAAGTGCTCCTAAGTAGGAAGCTGCCCTTCTTTTTAGTGAGTCTGGACTTGTGAATATAGCTTTCTACAAAATTGAAAAAGGATACTGATTATGGCTCTGACCCTCTGCAAACTGATCATTGGTAAGAACTATTTCATTTAATGCATAGGCCTATTGCCTTTTGGAGCAGGGAACATTGAAGAAGTTCTGGGCTAAGTCAGAGCCTCTAGATTTGGTCCATAAATGCTGAGGAAGGGGGAACAGAGCTGAATCTTCCAGCATCATTTATTTCTCCTATTTTCCATCAAGTCTGTTCCTCCAACTACTTCCTGCTCTCCACTGCCTTGTGTTCCCACTCCAGCCTTCTCTTTGATCTTATAAGCTTGGAAGGGCTATGAAAAGACTGCATGTAGGAAAGGACAAATGAGTGAATATGTGGAGTCTGTCCCAAGTCAGGGTTTAGTGAATCATCTATAAGAAACTTCAGGAAGGTACGGCCTGCTCCATTTGTTTCTGGGGATGAAAACATCTACTTTATAGCTTTACTATGTGCTGAATGTACTCATTCTCCTGTCCTGGTCTCAGCATTGCAGGGGCAGAGGAAAGGTAGGTTACACCCATGGGGAAGGTCAGAGGGTTAAATCTGAAGCACAGCTATAACTCCCTACCCCTTTTCTTCATTCTGCTCTGTTTTAACTTCTACTTCCAGTTTATTAATGCAGCCCTGTCCTGAGGAAAAGGTGAGGCTAGAGTTCCTTCCCCTTGCTGGAGGCAAGCTGGAGGGTTGTTTCTTCCTCTGGTTGGGGCCTGCTGTGGAGCCTGTGCTTAGTAACTGGGATATTTGTAATAAGAGCACAGAGGGTTGTGCTTCCTCCTGAGGAGGACAGTGGAGGGACTGATATAGAGTGGTTCTTAACCTTGCCTAGAATCAAGGCACCACTTGGAAGATGCCCACCCATAACTTTCACTTGTTTTTTGAGTACAGAAAAAATGTCAGAATGTTTTTGACACTGTGGATTCCCTTTTGAAATTTCTATGAATTGTGCAGGTATTTGAATGCTTAGCAGTGCTGGTATTGTATGGTACTCTTAAGAGGATCTCTCAGCACCCAAGCGTGCTATGGCACCCTGGTTGAGTCACTAGACCAATTCATGTAAAGAGTGTTCTTGGATACCATAGACTTGCTGAAGGAGAGCTGGACTGTGAGCTGGCAGCACAAGGATGCTGAGAAATTAAAGAAAATACCAGGGAAATTAAAGGCATTAAAAATGCCATTCACCCAAAGACAAAGTTAGGCACCTTGTATCTTTGCCAGTGTATGGAGTCAACAACACATGTCTCTTTATGCCAGGACAGTTGATGGCGACCTGTACCCCAGCTCTTTGTTTTGTGGCTTGATTATAGCTGAATGCATTTCAGGAAAAGTGTGCAACAACAGCAACAAAACCTTTATTTTGCTTTAAAGTTTTGGAGCATCTAAAAGGAGTGGCTAACCTTTGGCACATGTGCCACAAGTTGCATGAGCAGCCTCTTGGCAGGTGGCAGATCAGGGAGAAGATAGGTAATACAGCACCAGGGCTGACAGAGTGGAACTTGGGGAGGGTGGTCTTTTCAAAAAAGGGAAGAAGGAGGACCCAGGAAACTATAGGCCTGTTAGTCTTACCTCAGTCCTGGTGAAGCTCTTTGAGAAAATTATCCAGGAGCACATCTGTGAGGGACCAG